TACGGTGCAACGAAACAACGTAACGAAACGTGAGAAACGCGCGGTCATTGATTACAACGGGTCAACGATAGCCGGTTCAAGAGATACAGCGTACTCGCGCGTTGAATAGGGCACGAAGTAGGGGACACGCTTGGATGTGGGAAGATGAGTATTCAAGGTCGCGACGCGTTCTAATTTTACATGATACAGATCAGTAAACGCAAAGATACGGTAAAACGAAACTAACTTGGCGTTTTTCAATGTTCGGGGCACGACCTTCCATGTCCGGAGAGAAGGAAGGGGTGGTATGGAAATTTTGAATGAAAAAAATGTGCATAATTTAAATCAACTGTAAGAGGATACTAAGCATTCCGAAAGTCACCTTCGATTTTGCGAGGTAATAGGGATTTTAGAGGAACAACTACAAGGCATAGAACCGTATGTGTATTTGAGACAAAATTATTTAATTCCTTCTGTGGCTTTTTAGATTTACGAATAGTGTCATCTCTGGAATCTATTTTATACGGAATCCTGTTAACACGTTGATCGCCGCGTCAGCCATATATGGGTGACAGTGGTTTTCACTCGAGAGCAAACAAAATCAATTGTTGATGTTAAGTATCAGAGAAAATAAATTTTAATGAAACGCTTAAACTTCGATGAAGTTGTAAAAATAGATGGCACAGTAAATGTTTGATTATGTAGTTTTCAGTAGTCTGGAAACGAAACTTAATCGCAGTAGAAATTTTCAGGAGTATCAATCCGGCAGCCAACGCGTTAAATCGTTTAAAAATTTCATTGCATTTGATGCTTTCAATCTTATGTGTGATAATCGGAACTCTTTTCTAAATATTTGTGTAATTATCAACGAAAACATATATTTCTTGGTCTTATACTTGTGGTTCTAAAATTTCTATTATTTCTCAAGTTGGCTAGTTTAGAAATCTGCAGTTTATTTCCGAGTATAGATAGAAAGAAGAATCCCACAATGGGAACTATCTCTTGATCTTCTAATCTTATCCAATATACCTGTTTTCATACGATTGCAAATATTTTTCTCACTACGATTGACGATATCTCTGATGTGACTATTAATTTCTTTAAAATACTTTTCTCACGTTTTGGATGACATTTCGTAATTCATTAAATTATGCTCGTTCGTGCTATAAGTAGCTGTATTATTTTAATATAATTGTTTGTTTTGATGCAATCCACCTATATATTTTCTTATTTAAATGGATTCTTCTTGTTATCGTGCATATAAAATCATTAGAGCCTGACCTTTCAAGTTATAATACTATTATTATTATGAGTTATAAGTTGCGAATTATATCATATTTTATATTTGAATTCGAGAAGTCGATCTTTATGTTAAAATAGTGTCTACCACGCTAGATTACGTAGCGTCGACGACCGTGATCACAGGTGTCATAAACAATGTAATTTGCAAACACATTTCACTCAGTTTATGATAGATTTACGTCTCGAACGACCTTGATTTCCAGATTTTGCTTATTAAACCGCACTAGATGGAATCAGTTCGAACTATACAAGCAGTAATAACAGGTTTGACTAATAATAGAGAAATTTACATATTCGGTGCATTCGTAAAGCGAAATAACAAATATCTGATTATTAGATAGAAACCGAAGGATCGAAACACGAAACGTACGATTGATTGACAGCAAATAATAAGAATGATTTCTAAAAATGAACAAAACAATACGTGGCTAACTATAGCACAACGAGACATAGTTAATTCCATACTTATCAAACTCAATTGACTTCGAAGTAAGAAGTTACACGCAACCAGTTTCAAAAATTAAGAGAAAATATTTGTGTTGAAATTGTTGTAACGCAAGAAGAATTACAATATATACACATAGATGTTGACAATAAGCGATAATAAATAATTGCCTGTTCGAGACTGGAAGATCGTCGTGCCCTGATTTGCATACACACGAGTTGTACCTATTATCGAATACTTATCATCCGAGGAGCTCGCTGTATCTCCCTTATCAACTATACCGGGATTTCGTATTAATTCGTTGACAAACAGAATTGCTTGTACACGAGAATGCGACGGCCATAAGCGTTTCTTAATCGTACACGAGTACCGAGTATCGATCGAGTGCACTGCGTACTACCACTGCTCTGATCGTTATCCGTCCTTGTTAATTACGACTTTGATATTCCTTCGCAAGCAAAGGAGCCATCGCCTTTTCCGCAGGGCGGTCAGTGTGCCAGTTGGCTCGTCAAGCCTCTCGGAATTTTGTTCTTTGTTTCTTTTCTTTTTTTTTTTTTTTTGCCACCTTTGAAAGAAAAATAGCACATAGTTCCTTTTTTTCCATGCTTCTTAAACGTCATCCAGAAATGACTGACAGGACTTATCATTTAGGAATTAAAAAAATTGATTTCGAAGGTGAGACAGCAATAGAAATAATTCATAGGAACTGTAAATTCGGTGAGATTAAAAAACCTAATAACAAGACAAGCGTGACATTGTTTAATCTTCGCGGGTTTCGAGACAACATCTTAACTGTAAAAATTACCGTAAAACACCGATAGGACCGCAAAAGAAATTGCGTTATTCCTGCAGGCGTTCGAACGTTCCGCCGTGAGCGTTTAAGTATTTTAAGCGATGCCATGGAAATGAAAATTAAGATTAATCGCACGTGTGCAACCGTTACGGAACTCGAAAATGTAATTAAGAGTGTATAAAAAGGGAGCAACGAAATGTTTAAACGGACGGCGGAACGTTTTTGCATGCCGGATGGAACAAAGTAATTTCTTCACATAAAACATGAAATATCCTGTGAGGTATCACGTTTTCAATGGCTATTATAATACCTTTACGTGCAGAATGCCGAGTAAAATTGATTGACGCAGGGCAAAATGTATTCTTTCATTTAAAAAAATTAAATACGATGGGTATATCGCATCGGTGCAACAAAAGAAATAATTCTATCATCGAACCATAATAGTATTTTATCGAGATAACATTCGTTACCTAACTAATTATAATGTTCAGCATTTGTCTATATAAATCTTTTGTGCCCAAGGCTGGAAAAGAGCTGCAATTTATTTCACAGTAGAATTTCAAACGCAGAAATGGTTACATAAATATCGTTAATCGTTTCGTGTTCGCTGCAATATTTGAGAAAAATATCCAACGTGATTTTAACGTTTCGAGAGGTATCGACACATAACGTTTGTTTTTATATAAAAATTATTGCTATTTACGATCGCGATGCGTTTTGGAATTAAAAAATATACATCGTTAAAGCGACACAATATGTTTTTTATGTCAAATTTGTTACGGATAAATGTTGCTTTGGTGGTATTTTCCTTTGTGTGTATTCGATTAACGAAGAAAAAAAGGTTCGTTTAAAATTCGTCCCTCCAGAGGTTAAGGTAGTACGAAACATAAAAATTCATAGTATATGTCATCAATCATTCACGGCACGGTAGTTAAGAACCGCTGAGGTTCTCGTCTTCGCGTGAAGAAACGTAAACAATCTCTGGAGCGGATCTAAAGCTTCTTACTTACATTGGAAACAGAGGAAGTCGCATAAAGTGCAACCAGTGACCTCGACATACAATTTTTTCTGTGCATTGTTCTCTATGTGAAGGGATCGTATGGTACACGTTTAGGGGCCGTTCATAAAATTACACAAGGAGGATTTCTGTCATTTTTTACCCCCCTTACCCTCATGTTAGAACGCACAAGATTTTTATCAGGCATCCCCTCTCCCTTCTCGCGTAAGATTTTACCTGGAATTTCCTTAAAAAACGTTAAATAGTTGAATGTCTTTAGAATAGATTCAGTTACATTAAAATACGTTATTATTTGACATAAATAAAAAATGTTGTATCGTTTTTTAATAATTACTTAGCGTTTGGAAAAAGCGTGTTATAGTTAAAGACAAGATTTGAAACAATCTTAAAGCAAGGAAACAAATCGTAGCAAAATATTACCCTTTCCTTACCACTCGAAGCACTTACGTAATTAACGAACCGTCTCTTATACGCGAGAACAGAAATATCGATCAGAAATGTTCGATGGTAATATCGATTCACGGTAATAGGAATAGGAACAGCTGTAGTAGGACTTGACGGCCTTTTTCGGTCAACTATCCGAGCATACACGCGTGCATACATATGTATTGGTTAACATAATGCAAATGTTCGATCGCTTTCGGAGTCCCGCAAAATAGATCTTGAGGTCGTACAGGTTGTCACTCGCAGGCGGACAATTTACACGATCAAATTTACCGTATATCCACGGTCTGTGTGACCCAGTATAGAATAGAATGCTTTCAGTTCGTCGGTGACGAGAATGAAACTCGTATTATTTCATGTAGTATGGATCAATGTTTCTAAAATTGGCGCTCACAATTTGTGGAATAAATGAAATTTAAAAATAGATTTAATATTTTCATTGTACGAGAAGATAGAAAAAAGTTCGCATAACACATTTATGTAAGATATAATTCTCCTTGAGATTGATTGGGCGTAGAAATTAATTCTGTGCCTTTGTATTCAATAATTTATAACTAGTGATTTTGGTATGTTAAAATACGAACTTTCCAAGTCCTCGACCTAAATCTCAACCCGACGGCCAGTGCGATGCATCTATATGAACTTTAGGAGTTATCAAATTTTGCTTATTGTTATCCTTTTACATTTACTGTTACATTCGTACAATTCGTACAATTATGAAGTACATTTATAATATGTTAGAGTAATAATAATAAGCAAAAATGTATGGCTATCAAACTTCATGTATACATATCAGCACGCTGTAATGGTCATCAGGTGAAGATTTATGATATGCAATATATGCAACAAAGGCCAGGCCGAGAGCCTAGAAGATTGATAATTTAGTATGTAACAACAAAATGCCTTGTAAATATTTTGACTGAAACTAGAGCTGTAAACGACTGAACGGGTTGAAAACTGATCAATAACTTTGTTATGATAATAACTGTGTTACTAATGATCCTGTTCGTGATTTTCAGACCCAGTCGGACGAGGATGACGTGGCGGACGACGTGTCCGTCAACGTCGGCGGGCAAGATGACTTCATGACAGAGTTTTTCGCGGAGGTAAGTGCAAATTTTACGATATACCTTATTTTTAATTTCTTGAAGAAACACAATAAGAGGTTACACCATTTTGACTATCCTAGAACAAGTGGTATATTCCCAACACTTTTACAAGAGATATATGCGTTCACTTGAAATGATTTTGTTCATTACCACGTATAGAACGTTTTCTGAACTTTAAAGAGCAATTTTTTTTTTTAAACATCTATATTTATTTATAAAGGAAAGAACGACGTTATATTCGTCCGCGTAACGGGGTTTTCTCTGCAACTGAGAATCAAAAGTTCACCGGTATTCTTAGTTTTGAAGTTTCTGTCTCTAAATTTGTTACTCTATCGCGTGATTCACAAATCGCTTTTAAGTTATCGAAATAGTATAACCTTTTTCGTGTCAGTAATTACGAGAGGTTACGTTAAGTTATTTTGTCGACAGAGACGAACCATTGGTATTTAGAAAAACTTGAAATGAAATTTAATCTTTTTTTATCATTCAGATTATGATTTTTTGAAACAAAACAACAAACTGTCTTTGTCTGTCGTACGAATATTTTATTTGGATGAGCATTGTGTCTCTCTCTGGTTTGCTCTTGCTTAACACGTTGATCGCTACGTCGCCCACATATGGGTGACAATGCTTTTCACTGAGAAACTACGAAAATTAATTCTGAAAGTTAAGTGCCGCAGAAAATGAATTTAAATGAAATACTTGAACTTTGATGAAGTTACAAAACTGAATACCACAATAAATGTTTCATTACGCAGTTTCCAATAGTCTGTAAACAAAGTTTAATCACAGTAGAAATTTTCAAGAGTATTAGTGTAGCAGTGAACGTGTTAAGTGAAGAAATTAACGTAGATCAACGGTAGATAAAGAAAAACGAGGTTTGTCTTCCTCTAGTTACCTCTAATTTCTCTCTGATGACGAAGGCACACGAAATACGGAACGTCCCCGTATAGATGACCATTTACCATCAAAGATTCTCCACTTAACCATCTAGTTCCATCTCGTGCTTCTTTTATCCTTCTTTCAAATTATTTTGTCGAGTAGCGCCAATGTCAACTTTGTCCTGATTCGATCTTTTCTTCTTCAAACGCTCTCGGGCAATCCAGTTGCTCCAACTGTTCGACTGCAATCCACGATAACGTCAAAGGTTCTTTTGATGTTCTTTGTCCCTTCGACTCTCGACCAAATCGACTAGTGTTTACGTTCAAGATATCGTATCCAGTGGCGTCTCTAGGCTTGGTGTTACCTACCGCGGTAACATCATCGCGTCAACCTGTATCAGAGCTGTTCAAAATTTAATTCAACATATAAAGTTTAGAGTTAGATTGTAATAAGGTTGAGGAGAATATTCGAGAGGAAAAGGAGTTTATTTTTGTTTATATTTGATACGGAAGGAAGGTACCAATTAGGATAAGAGACTAGATAAAGAGATAAGATAAAACTGATTGGTAAGACAGGTATTAAAGGTACGACAATCTAAACAGATAAAATCAGCCAAATAAAGTA